AAAAAAGAAAAAAGAAAAAGAAATGATAAATATGAAAGGTTTTTTTTGTTGTTTTTCAGTCAAAATTCACAGATCAACAAGATATAAGTATTTAGATGCGTGTTAATCAGATTCTCGAGAAATATACGACGGGTTCTTTCATTTTGTTTGTCTGATTGCTTTTTAAGCTCCACGTGGTTGCATTCGCCGGACCGAGGGGTATACTCATCAGCAACCGCTCAACAGCATGAGAAAGGCCGAGTATACTTCCAGCTGGTAGAATCAGCCAGAAGCTCGACGGCGTCACATTTCGTATATAACACGCTAATATTTTTTCATCGTTATCTGTATATTTTATTCTGTATGTCAAGTCCTGCCGCCACGGAGAATCTCGTATACTTTGTTCAACGACCGACCGATACAACAATCATCCTTCTCACTCAAACTTTCCCAGAAATGATCGATAACGTTTTGTATGACATCCCATATATATATATATATCTTTTTTTCCTTTCATTCTTTTTCATTCGTGTCGCAACGGCCTAGCCTTGGTGTGTGCAATATGTACCACTCTGCTGTTATCGATCGCATGAATCGATCGTGGAACGTCTTGTTTCGCTGATCGCGCGTAATACGATCGATTTACGTTTTAATCGGTATACACGCGTATCAGCAGAGGGAAGTTAATATTATTCGTTATGAAACACTGTACCATGTTAATAATCAAGGCTGAGTTTCCGAAAGAAACTATAAAGAAAACTATCTTCAAAGAGATTCACGAAGAACGATCCAGCCATTTGTGCAAATAAGGAAAGTAATCCGATAATTTGCTAATTCTTTGGTTAAGCAATATATTATTTGCAAATTATTCAATCTTGTGTTGACATTAAAGTTGACCATTATTTCCTCGAGTTTATTTTTTTTACCAACATTATGTGTTTGTAAAGTCTGTATTTTTTTATATTGCTAGTCTACTGTTATATGTATTTTTCAAAGTTTATCGATTTAATTTAATTTATAGTTTAATGAATGTAATATGTTTTTCTTATTCTCCTTTCACATAATCGCGAGAAATTACATCTCTACTAGGGAGGGTCAAATATTCGCCGTTTGAGGGTTAAATATCTATTTTGAAACCAGCAATCGGTCCGATCAACATCGTTCTTTTCATTGTATAAAATACTAAATACACCTTTCTATCATTTCAAAAAACAGACAGATAAAAATTTCAAATTTTTACATTTTATTTCGAATGTTTTATTATTTTATTTTAGGAATAGAAATACCAAGTATTTTATTATTTCGAAAGATAAAAGGTGCTTGAAATTTTCGATGACGAGCATATGTGAATCTCTTTGATCAGTTTGTCATATTTCTATTGATCGTTCCAACGAGTCGAAAAAATTCAGTGAGAAGAGAGTGTCGGTAGAACCTGTGTACGTGGAATATCGCGAATGTTTCGTTTGCACCTTGCTCTTGATATTTTCAGGTATAGAAGTTTCATTGTCCCACTGTAGCCAGCATTGCCACGTGCGTTCATCCTCATCTCGTCGTACTAAGTCTCTACTTGAATCGCTTTACAGGGTGAAATATACGCCACCGCTGAAGAGCGATCGTCACCCACGCATGAATCGTACACGAGCCAAGGCGAAGCCATTCGACAAGCATCATGTTTCAGCTTCCTTCCGGGTCGTGCGGTGAGCTACTCCTAACATCTAGATTATCTATATTCAGGGTTCAGCGTCGGCATCGGGATAACCTATCCACTATGCGGATTCATCATCGCTCATTTCGGATGGAGAGCGGTCTTCTATACGACCGGGAGTATCGGTACCATTTGGTGCCTTTTCTGGTACTTCTTCGCCTTTGATACGCCTGCCACGCATCCCAGAATATCTCAGCAGGAGTTACGATATATCCAAGGAAGTGTGAGCAATCAAGTTCACGCGAACGAAGTAAGTTTTATTATTTAAATTATATTGTCGCTGTGGAAGATTTGGAATTTCTCCATTTTATTTAATTGTACTGTAGTCATTTTTATCACGATTGATTTTTAAAGAGTTTTCTGCGAAATAAGTATAATACTGATAGAAAGATTGGTATTTTATTTTATTCATGTATCTCTATGCATCTTTGCATCTTCTGATATTTTTTTAAATATCAGTTATTAATAATTCTTTATCTCGATAAGTTTTTAAGGAAAGAACTTATTTCGAAAAAGGATGAAAAAGTAAAAAAACTGTGGAATCACTTTCTCTGTTTTGCTTGTACTCAATCTGTGGCTAATCTTTTAAATTTCAGTTATTATCAGTAATAGATAGATATAGATGATAAATCGATAGATTTATTTTTTTAAAGAAAGATCTCAGTTAGAAAAAATATACTATTGGAGTTAATGGATATTTATCTATATTGGATCTCTTGTCGTTTTGATCTTTCTGAGTTTTCAACAAAAATATTTTTTCTAATTATAAACTAATATTCTCTCAAGCTTGTAGCTTCTCATGACAGTGATTCCAAATTTTCGTTTAATTAATTGAATTTTTTGTTATTCAAAGAGCATGCCGGTCCCATGGGGTTCCATTCTCAAATCCTGGCCAGTGTGGTCTATCGGGATCACCACATTCGGAAGGATATGGGTTCATTATATCTTCATCATCTCTGGACCAATGTACATGAAGACAGTTTTAGGATTCAGCATTCAGGCGGTATATATACATTAAATATAAAATATGCATTAAAGATAAATAAAATATTACGTTTGTTTTCTGATAACTTTCGTCACTATTTTAGAATGGAGTGCTGTCGGGTTTACCGTTCATCTGTAGTTACTTCAGCTCTGTTGCCTTCTGTTATATAGCCGATGTCCTCGTCACGCGACAAATTTTGTCACTGACGAACGTTAGAAAGGTGTTTACCGCCTTTTGTACGTATCACATGAAATTCAGTTGAAAACCATTTTGTCACTAGACTGTGGATTTTTATGCAAAATTTCTGTGCGACTTGAAACTTTCTTTGCTATAAAAATTTGTGCCTCGAAGAATTAATATAGATGAAACAAAGTTCTTAAATTATTTTCACAAACATATGGTGTTGGATAAAAATCCGTAGTCTCTTTATTACAAATTGTCTAACATTGGAATTTTTTTATTTTACAGCACAAGTAGTTCCTGGAATAATGTTAGTGTTAATCGGCTACTTAGGCTGCGATATTATTCTCGTTTTAGTAGTGTGGTTCATAGCTGTTACACTGATTACTGCTGCCTACGCAGGGGCGATGGCAAGTATTGTCGATATCGCGCCAAATTTTGCTGGTAAGTGGCAAAATATCAGTATTACGAATTATAAATCGTAAAATTCCTCTTCATTGTGTAACCTATTGTAACAGGTCCAATATTGGCGTTCGCACAGACAATTCACATGACAGCCAGTTTTTTATCTCCGGCCGTGGCTGGTCTCCTCACAGAAAAAAGCGTGAGTAAATATTTTATTTTATTTTCATTACAGCTTCCTTGGAAATTAAATAAATTTCCTTTTTATGAGACGAATAATCATGCTTAAATCTTAAACATATTTTTGAATAATATAATCCTTTTCATATGGCGAATAATTATATTTGAATGTTTAACATATTCTTAAATTTTTCCTTATGATAAACCGCAATCCTTCGTCCATAAATGAACTGTCGGATTTTTATACAAATTCATAGTCTTATAAACAGAAAATTTCTTTTTATTAAATATCATGGCAAATATTTTATTTTGAATATACTTAGTGCATGAACATCGGCAGTTTATTTATAAGCTTCAAATTTTTATGTTCAACATATGTTTATAAAAACCTAAGTCAGTAATCGATCCTTAGTACTGTGCTTTGAATGTTTTATATATTTTTGTATGTACTCCTGTGCCCTTTTCCGACTCTCAATTTCCTACGAAATATTCTCAAATTATTCATCGTTAATTCTACGTGTTCATCGTATATTTATAAAAAGATTTTTACTCACGTAGAAATTAAGTGTACGTATTCTCTTCCCAGTGTAACATTACCAGTAATTAATCCTTTTGCATGGAAATACAGCAACTATTGTAGTTTGCTACTAGCAATTATCCTATTCACAGAGATCAAACCAATTTTCCTCACACTTATATCCGCTCATAATCAATTCCTTTGCATGGAAATATCGCGACTACTTCACTTTGAATATTTTATACAACTTTATGCGTAATCCTGCGCATTTTTGCAACCATCTGGTATATTTATTCATAAACTGCGATCCTCCATATTCATCATGCAAACCTACTCACGAAGAAATCAAACCTGTTTTCCTCGCACGATATCCGCAATAATGAACTCTGGTGCGTTCAAATAACGAAGGAATTCGTTTCACAGCAAACTCTCGACGCATGGAGACAGGTATTCTTGGAGAGTGCGTGTGTCGCATGTGGCACTTACATCGTCTACCAGATTTTCGGTACGGGTGATATCCAAGCGTGGAACTATCCCGACCAGAAATATCCGCAATCTGTTCAGGAAGATTCTCAGCTTTTGAACGAATTGCCCCAAAAGAACGGGAAAATTGTCAAATCTCGATCAGATACTTGCGAGGAAGCGTAACGCAGTTGACGTTGAACAAAGAAGAAAAAGAAAGCACACGAGCTGTATCTCGTATTTCAACTATGAATACTTCTTGATTCTTGAAACAGAGGCAATCTAAAAATTATATATATATATA